TCCCATTGTCCACGGTTACTTTCGGACGCAGCATGTCGAGCGAAAATTATCAACTGGCGCCATTGTACCTGTGTGCCCGAGCTAAAATCTCTCTACCATTCTCATTTGTCGCTCGCCTCTCGTCTTTCCGGGAAATTCACGGACGGGCCGGGCGATTTACAACGTCGTTGGTACCGAGATTTGACTCTTCGTATTTCCAACCGGCGATAGGCCGCGTTAACGAGTTATATAATATAGGTGGTGAGAGCAGGTGCCCTCGGAACGTGCCCGATTAATTTCAGACTTTGAAAGCTTAGCCTCTCGCGTCTGGAGGAACGGTTCGACGGCGATGATTCGGCGGAGACGACCGCGGATCGTAATGTAATTTGCTTCTTCTCTCTCTCTCTCTCTCTCTCTCTCTCTATATATATATATATATATATATATATATATCCGACGTCCCGCGTGTCTCGAGATATGAAATACATAAATGGGTGATCGGGAGTCGTAACTCCGCGGGATCCCGGGAGGGGCTTGAATTTTATTCCTTACAGTTTTACGCGAAAAGCGCGAAGAGAGACGGAAAGCGGAGAAATATTCGGAGGGCGGCGCTCTTCTTCTTTCCCTCGACCTCCAAACGGTACGCGAACCACGCACACACATACACTTTTATTCCGTCCGTGCCTCTTGCTTTTTAGTCAGAGCTTACTCGGCTGCGGATTCCTCCCGTAATTCCCGGACATTTTTACGCGTCGCGTCTAACACCACGCTCTTTTTCTTGCCGCCCTCGAATGTGCACTCGTCGATTACTCGGAGCGATTCCCGACGAGAATTAAACTCGAGCGCGCGTTAATCCGCCACGAACTAGTTTCCCGAGCCGGTCTTTCTTTTTTTTTTTCTTTCTTCGCGTGCTTCCCGTGACGTTTCCCTGCTTGCAAATTCGCGGGGAAATCGACGCGATGTGGTGCGCGCGCGATCACGTCGAACGATAATTCTCAGAGAAATTGCTAGCGATCTAATGTCGATTATGGCGGAATCACGAGCGGAGGTGCCTCATCCTCGCGTTTCTAATCGAATCGGGAAACGTTCGAGGTAGTCCGCCGCGTTAGGAGGAACTCATCTCTTCAGATGAAACTGAAAATGAGATTGGTTTAATGGATCGGGATTAAGTTCATCGCGGAGACACACGATTGTCGGTTTCTGCCGAAAGGAAGAGAGAGAGAGAGTGGGGGAGAGAGAGAAAGAGGAAAGGCGAATCTCTCTCCACGGACGAAACGGAAACGGCGAACGGAAAGTGGCAGAAACGGTAGCGAGAGCTCTTTTACGATCCATAAAAAATTTACGCGGAACAATTCTCTCGCGGCGCCGTTTGCTCTCCGAATTCAACGTACCTCCATTTCTAATCGCGCTTCTTAATAATTTCGAACACATGTGAGGAAAGTGAAGGTTTGACGCGCGTTCAGCTTCGACCGATTAATCCGACGACCCAATTACGACGACAAATTTATCGATTTCGCGTTCACCGTCTCGCTTTCGTCTCAGCCGGCGCCCCGGATAGCCTCAAGGAGGGACACACTTTCGACGTTCCGTCAAGGGTCTCTCTCGACCCCCCCCCCCCCC